ATCTTGACCAGGAGGATGTTACAAGATTACTATGGCCAGCAAATCCTCCAGATTGCAATCCCATTGGGAACAATTGGGCAGAACTGAACCGGAAACTTGTTAACCACGACCCTAAATTAGTTACTGTAGCTGAGTAACAGTGCCTTCTAGTGAAAAAGTGGGATGAAATCACAGGGAATTACATCAATAACCTCATCGACAGCATGCCACGACCCCTTGGGGAGGTTATTAGAGTAGGAAGAGGATCAACCAGGTACTGAATGTTTAATATGAACTGATATAAGGTTACAGGCGCTATTTATAATAATTTGATGTCGTTATATATGTTTTGGTAAGATTTTGTTGTGATAGGTTAAATGCTGAACTACACATCTTTCTACAGGTGTCTGATAAAATTGTTTGCTGTTCTAATAAGTCGTTCATGATGTCCATAGAACCTGTCTCAATATACAAATTACATATGTAGATGTTTAATATAACATGCATCTCTTAGTTTACCAGCACTGATCATATTTGTATTCCATCTTAATAATAATGATCTTACTTGTTATAAAATATGCCCAAGACTATATCACTATATTTTTCACTGGAACTGAATGAGAAGTAAATTAAAATAGAATGGGTTATTTTCAGACGAATGGAAGAAATATGTGTAGATTTTCCGAGAGAGTGAAAAGGAAGAAAAGCTTTCCTATATAACGCATAAAAACCTTAAATAAACCAACAAACTTCAATTTGGAAACATATTAATAGAAAACAAAAAAGGTGTATAGAAAGTTCGAATAAAAGTCGGATGTTTTTTTACAGACACACAGACTCGAATAAGAAATAAACAACGTGATACCAAACTCGTTAAGCTCCCTTGCAAGTAAAAGGCCTCAGAGTATCAAGACACTATGTATTGTATTCGAGGGAATTAGAACGTATTGTCTCATCTTAAGTTATGGAATCTGAAAGTAGGCAGTGTATTTAATATAGGAATTAGAAGGCCTTGTTTTATACATAAACTTTGGAGCCCTACGTAGTGTATTTGATTATGGATAAATCTTATAAAGTTGTATACATATATATTTAGATAATTGTAGAGTTCATTACAGGTTAATAAGATATCGCATTTATTATAAGAAGTTATGAGTGAAAGCAAAGAGGAATATATTATAATATATCAACCACATTCCAGTCGTCATAACCAGCGCTGACGAGGCCTTTTGCCCAATACCTGGGGCTAATCAGGCCAGCTGGGATATGTTTGTTTGTAATTAAACACAAAGCTACACAATGGGCTATCTGTGCTCTGCCAACCACGGGTATCGAAACCCGGATTCTAGCGTTGTAAGTCCGCAGACATACCGCTGTGCCACTGGGGGGCACTGGGATATGACAGATATAGTAATGATCTATGCGCTATTTATATCAGTAATTTTCATGAACAATGACTGTTATGGTGTGAATAATTAGATTAAGTAAGCGAGTTGTAATTATTACCATTATTATGCTCGAGGTTTTATGAATAATTTTTTTAGGTTTTCAGTGTGCAAATTTAAAATATAAATGTATTGAAAATATGTGATAAGTATGCTGCCCCCCAGTGGCACAGCGTATGTCTGTAGACTCACACCGCTAGAAATCGCGTATCGATACCCGTGGTTTGTGGAACACAGATAGCCCTTTGTGTAGCTTTGTGCTTAACTACAAACAAACAAGTATGCCACTTTATTTTTATAGCTTTTCAGAATATACTGGCACATAAGGTTATTTTGCTATTTTTAGTAATATCCAACAAAACAATTCGTAAGTTGAAAACTTGGTTGATAATTTTCAATCTTGTCAGTTAGCAAGGAAGTAACTTATTAATTGAGAAATCTAATATCTGTAAAAATAATATGTGGAACACAGGACAGCGTTCAAGTATTTCTGGCAAAATAAACAGTTATTTTAAGCCAACTGAAATTGGAATTTTCAACATGAACGGCACCTTCTGCGACACATGGGTTAAACAACCAGGTCAGAGAACCCTATAATTTAGGTGTAATCGTTCGTAATATTATTTTGAATCACTGACCAGGCACAGGACAGTCAGCCAGCAATAACAGCCACTAGAAGGGTTTTGTCCTTTCTTTGAAGCGAATAACGGTACTGACTGCCAGTCTTATAACACGCTCACAGCTAAAAGTTCGAATGTGTTCAGCAGCATCATTGGACCCTTCGATCTGCATTAGGCCATGTCCGGCCCGGCAAACTTGGAAATAAATCCACAAAATAGAATTCGAGATATTCAATGATAGCAACGACAAGGAACGTTTTTCATCATTTATAAAACACACAACGAATTTCTGAGATGTGTATTGTTTGTTTGTTGTTAATAGCAAAGCTACACAATGGGCTATCAGTGCTCTGCCCATTACGGGATCGAAATCTGATTTTTAGTTTGGTCACCTAGGGGGGGGGGGCAAACTGATGACACATAGGACTAATCGGTTTTAATTAAATAGCAGAGTAAATGTGTATTGTATTTTATACATTTAAATCAAATAATATATAAATGATTGTATATTGCAAGGAATGTTTCTGACACGAATCATTATGAAAGTATAATTAGTCAAGCTACTATAAATTCGCTTAAATGCTAAGAAGATCTACTGTTTCACTCTTTAAAATGTTAAAGAAAAATATATAAAAAAATTAATGTCCTTTTTTTGCATTTTCCGCAAAACGTTTTGTTTGGAAAAAATAAAAACACTTATGATTGCTCTGGCGGTTCGTTTCGAGCACTGACTATTTTTCTGAGGAGAATTTAGCATTGTCAGTAAAGACTAACGCAACTTTTTTCGATCTTTTGGGTTGTTACATTATAGTGAACTGCCTCCTGGACGTTTGTCTTTTCATTGTACGAAGCTAATGTGTTGCTAAGTGTAAACGATGTAATGACGCGAACAAAAAAAGTGGTCGTAGCTTGTAGGATATATATGTGATACTTTCAGTAACTTAGATCTCAAAAGGAGAATTCTTTGCCTATATACAAGCTGAAGTAACATATTATAGGTAAACAAGGGAAGGATCGTAAATAAATATTTACAAAATATTGAATGATTTATATGTTACGATCCATAGATTACAGTTGTAATCATACAGACGTTCTTTGATTCAATGTAAGTCTGACGTACCTCTTTTTTACATCACTGATGTCTTCTAAGTAGAATGAATCTGTAGTAGTAAGCACAAGAAACTAACGTCAATCCTTAGTTAATTAAAGTCAATGACTATTGATTATAACGTTAAGTGAATGCACCAGCTTTCTTTGATTGTGACTGACTTATTTAGCGTTAACATGTGATTTTTTATCTGAAGAATATCTCCAATAAAGAAAGAAAGAATTCAACTTTAAAATAAGTTTTTCTTCTTATGCAAGTACCGTTAACAACGAGAGTACTTAACAACGTTAAGTACCGTTAACAACGAGAGTACTTAACTAATGACTTAATGCATTCTTATCATCATATCTTTTAATTTTCTTGCGTATTGTTTTTATGACATTATGCACTTCTAGTGAGTTTGTTAGATAGACTTAGTTTCTTTAATTCATGTTACTTTTTAGCTCTAATATACATTGTCAGCTTATTTTAATCAGACGATATTCATATAGTTAATTGCTAATTGTTAAATAATTTTACTTAATCAAGAGAAACTTTTTTAAGGTTGAAAAATTATAATGTACTTCTTAACATTTTTTCAAAATATTTTATGATTATTTTGTTTTATTTTTGTGTAAAAGAGCAACATGAACTGATATTTAGAACAAACGTTTGTCAGTTTACAAAGCAAACTGATGTTACAGTGATGACTTTTGTATATTTTGACAATTAATTAGTAGGTATCATTATTTGAATTTTCATACAGTAACAGTGTGGTATCTA